CTGGGGGAACAATAATAGAATGTTTTACTGTTGGTGTGTAAATTTCAGTCTAGTAGTCTGTAATGAGAGTCTGCTTTAAGGAGCAGCAAGACCCAAGAGCTTTGAAACAGGTATGCTATGCTACAAGTCAAGAAGTTACAGCCCTTGTCCTGCTTACTTTCTCTTCACTCGGATGGTGGACAGGCCTGAAGGCAAAATCATTCTGCTAGGGAAAGAGGATGGGCCAAGAAAAGAAACTTGGCACATCCCTTACTGGTGGAGGGTCATCTAAAGTTGGTGCAAAATGAACAGAGCAGGTTTAACACTAAACCAAGCCCAGGAGGCCCTCCCTTTACTATTTGGTATTGGACATTCTAATCACTTAAGGATCAATTTGTGGTTAAACATAATTGTACATCTATTTGGAGGATAGAAAAGTCATACGCCTGAGAAAAATTTAATTTTATGTTTTTGAAAAGTTTAACTTTAAATATATCATATTACACAAATTGAAAGCTGCACTTTCATATCTTTTCCCCAGTATTTGTTTGTCAATATATTGACTGCATTTGCTTGGCACAGTGTCTATCACATACCATGCTCATATGGATGAATACAATTAGTGATTTAACTATGACTGTTGTGGGATATCTGCACACTGCATGAAGGTGTATTGCTGTAATTGATTGGTGTAATAAAAAGCTGGATGGCCAATAGCTAGGCAGGAGGTATAGGCAGGACTTTCAGGGAAAGAAAGGAAGAGAGGAGGCACGCAAGAGATGCCAGGAAACAGAGAGAGAAAACAGGAGGTGCAAGATTGAGGAGAAGCAATGCTACGTGGTAGAACATAGATTAATAAAAATCTGAGTCAATTTAAGTTATATGAGCTAGTTATTTGGAAACAGGCCAAAGCTGAGGCCAAATTTTCATAATTAATAACAAGTCTCCAAGTCATTATTTTGGGAGTGACAATCCAAAGATGGTTCAAAGATAGATGAGGAAGCTTGCTATATGTGACTTTGCTGTTCCAACTTCCTTCTGCTATATATATTTCCATCATATGTTTTTACGGTGCTAGGAATTGAACCCAGGGTCTTGCCCATGTTAAGCAAGCATCCTAACACTGAATTATACTTTGTCCTCTTCCCATCATTTTTTTTTTTAACTCTACTGGGTACTTCTAATGACACTTTAAAAAATTTTCCTGAACTCAATCTCCTGTACAATAATCCAACCTGTTGTTTTCATAAGAGAATTTTGGAGGACTAATTAACATATAGTATGCTTAGTCTGCACCATGGTCATACTGGAGTTGGGTTCTACTATTGTCTGGCAAATATACTGACTGAACCCAGTTCCGGTATGACCACTGTGCAATGGCTAGGCATACCATAGCTAGGGAGTCAGCATGGGACTGACCTAGGTAGGCCCACTGCATCTGGGTGAGGCCCACTTCATCTGGGTGACAGTTGTGTATCTTTTATGGTGCCCCTAGCAGTGTAACCAGGACACATCCCTGATGCATGAGCTGGTTCTTTGGAACCTATTCCCTGTGGTGGGATGCCTTATTCAGCTTTGATGCAAGGGGGAGGAATTTGGTCCTGCCTCACTTTGATATGCCATGTTTTTGTTGATTTCCATGGAAGGCTTTACCCCCATCTGAATGGAGATGGAGGAGTAGATGGGGAGGTAGAAAGGAGGTGGAGGGAAGGAACAGGAGGAGAGGAGGGCAGGAAAACTGTGGTTGGTATGTAAAATAAATGAAAAAGTACTGAATAAAAAATAAAAAAGAATTTATATTTAAGGTTGCATCCCAGAAACAGGCAGATCTTTGTCCTAGTTAGGGTTACAATTGCCCTGCTAAAACAACACGGCCAAAATCAAGTTGGAGAAGAAAGGGTTTATTGGCTTACACTTCCACATTGGCATTCATCATTGGAGGAAATCAGGATAGGAACTCAAGAAGGGCAGTAATCTGGGGGCAGGGGCTGTTGGAGAGTCCATGAAGGGGTGCTGCTTACCAGCTTGCTCTTCATGGCTTGCTCATCCTGATCCCAGGACCCAGGACCACCAACCCAGTGATGGCACCATCTACAATGGGCTGGGCCCTCCTGCATCGATCACTAAGAAAATGTTCTACAACCAATCTTATATAAAGTCATTATCTTGGCTGAGAGTCCTGTCTCTCAAATTACACTAGCCTATATCAAGATGACACAAAAGTAACCAGCACAGAGGGCATCCTGGTCTACATAACAAGTTTTAGGTCAGCCAGGGCAATTTATGCCTAGGATAGAGAAAAGCTACTTTTTAAGATCAGCCTGTATCTTTAGTTCTACTTTGTGTTCACTGTTACTTTCAGAAAAATCATTAAGGCTTTCATATATGCTGTGCATATATGACCCAGGCTATTTATGTATCTCACATGTTGTTTCATCATGAAGCTGTTTAAATATTTACGTACTTAAATATACACATCTTTAATGGACACTTTGCTAATAATCTAATATTCAGAAATGGCATATCTCTGTCAAGAGTATACAGACCTCTATTTGAGGGCCACATCCTTTGGTTTCATTGATGAAATGTGAACCATTAATACATTTAGAATATACTTTATAGTAAAATATAATGCAAAAACAAAAAGTCATTTTCAGAAATATATTCTGAAAATATTTCTTGAGTATATCATTCTTTCATTGATTCATTCATATATTCATTCATTTATATTCTGTTCCTCTATTTTGGTGCTATGTGACAACTCTAAAAATATTTTACTTTCTGTGTGTTTTACATGCATGTAAGTATAGTTCTCCCTTAGAACTGAAGTTATGGATGGTTGTGGACCACCATGTTGGTGTTGGGAATTGAAGCCAGGTCCTCTACAAGAGCAACAAGTGCTCTTAACTGTGGAGTTGGCTATGTAGGCCCCTCCTTAGCCTTTTCCTCAAATTTTCCCACTTGACACTTAAATTTCATTCACTCACTTTAAAACAATGAAAAGAGACCATGAATTTGACAGCAAGCAAAAGAAGGTAGATGGGAAGCATTGAAGGGAGGAAAAAAGGAAATGATGTAATTATAGTTCCAAAAAAATTTGAAAAGTAACTCTTTAAAAATGGAAAGAGAAAACCACCCCCCCACCAAAACCACAAAAAGGAAGAGTCCTTTTCATATCAAACTGGGAACAAAAACACTTAAATTTTATATATATATATATATATATATATATATATATATATATATATGTATATGTATACACACACACACACTCATCTAGCCTTTATTAAAATTATGCATTCACAATTCTATGGGAATATAGTAAAATAGTAGTTATGGTTCTGTCATGTATGCTAGACAGCCTCACATTGTATGTCACTGCCTCCACCCACATCTGTCCTTGTTTTGTGTACCTCAGGCTTCCCGTACAGCTTCCTTCTCTGGCTTCATTTAGCAAAGAGGAAAGGAGGATGTATACTGGCATGATGCAGGAGTGAAACAGAGGTTAGTCATTTATCTTGGCATTTTTTTGGGGAGGGGATTCACACGTGCATCACAACTGCTGTCAGTTCCACACAGCTGTGTAAGATTCCAGTTACCTTTGCCCCACTCCCCATCACCTCCTTTGCCTAGTTAGTCATTTATCTTGGCATTTTGGGGGGAGGGGATTCACACGTGAATCACAACTGCTGTCAGTTCCACACAGCTGTGTAAGATTCCAGTTACCTTTGCCCCACTCCCCATCACCTCCTTTGCCTAGGGGTACTAAACCCCATGTGATGGGCTGAAATATAAGTCCCTCTTAATATAGCCCTTATGGCTCAAAATGTAGTTATATTTGAAAAGTTTTTACAGGAATAATTAAGTTTAAATACTGTCACCACAGCAGGCCCTAATCCAATGACTGGGTCCTTATAAGAAATTTGGAAATATATGGGGACACAGAGATGGTCAATGGCCGTTGTCAACACCTTGATCCTTTATGATTTAGAACTAAGAAAATAAATTTCTGTTCACCAGTCTGTGGTACTGTTATGCTTATCCAAACCGAACAATATACGCCATGACTCTGGCTATAAAGGGAAAAAAAAAAAAAAAAAAACCTTTGATCCTATAGGATTCATGATTCTCACTTCCAATTTATTAATCACATTTTTCCAAATTTCAACAAAAATAATACAACCCTTTTCTTGATAAAAGTGTAAAAAATACCATATTTTTTAGGAGGGGGTAATGACTGGGGATTTTCCATAATAATTAGAAAAATGCATAAGTACTCCTAACAGAAATACATAGGGTTACTACCCATGCTTTCACTGGTGGGAAAAATTACAAATTTGAACCTGGGTCCTGGACATGAGTTCTCAAAAGAAATGAAAATAAGGGACATTTTACAGCACTCACCCTGCTATACATGGTGAAATCACAGGTGTAAGCACCAGTAACAAACCTGGCTAGTATGAGCAGCACTAGAAGCAATCTAGCAGAGAAGCTAGACTGACCCTCTTATCTGCTACAGCAAGCATTTTTAAAATAAAGATTTGCACTTTTAGTTATCTGTATGTGTGGGGGCATGTGCATGTCCATGCAAGAACCAGAGAAGGCCCCAGATCCCCCACCTGGAGTTACAGGTGGTTTTTGAGTTTTGGGCAATCAAACCTAGGTCCTCCGAAAGAGCAGTACAGGCTGAGCCATCTCTCAGGCCCAAGAAAAGAAGTTTTCTTTTGGGAGACAACTCTTCAGTGCCACCTAAATATTCCAGGAATCTGCACTTGTTAGTTTCACTAACATGAAAGGCACACCACAATTTTTTTTTGCTTTGAAATTTAGAAACAAGTTTTATTTAAGATCTGAAATACAATTCCTAAAATATCAACTTTTCAGAAAACTGTGGCTACACAATAATGCATTGCCTCTATGTTAGAACGTGCATTAGACTCAAAATACAAAAACCAGAAAACAAATCACCATCCTTCAACAATTTGAGCAAAGATAGAATGAATGCCTAAGGAACAACAAGATGGATTTGCAGAGGATGGGCTGTTTACGTCAAGCACCATAAAAAAAAAAAAAGAAGCACAAATGCATGGGATTTTAGGTATATACATTTAAGTTGAACCTTTGGCACTAGGAACCAGGGCATCTTATCACGTAGCATTAACACATATTAGAAAACCGTGTAGTGTCAAAGGGATAGAACCACCAGCATTCAAGCAATGTTGTCAACTAGGCAATAAAATGTTCTACTGAATTTCTTCTTTGTCTAATTACTGCATACACTGGTAGCAACTTAGAAATGAGGAAAGGAGCCGGGCACTCCTTTTATTTTCTGTTTACAACCGAACAGGAAACAAACTGAAACATAAGCCCTGTTTTACATCGACAGTTTTAAAGAACATCAATTATACAATGAGAGGACTAAACAGAAGTGTTTACAGATACCAGACAATAGTGAGTGGCCAGTAGACCTTCACAGGGCTTTGCGGTGGTAGTCAGCAGAAGCCACTTTGTAATCACTGGCAGTGAACAGAGAGGCAGAATTCTTTGCCAGATACTTAAGGAAATCATGCAAATAGCCCAGCAACAATGCAAGGCTTTTCTCATCAAGGGGTGTATAGGCCAACATTGCCCCAATTCTCACAAATAATCTCAGTAGGTGTGGTGCCCCATAGATCTGCGACATTGGCGCATCAGGGTGTGCCAGAAGGATCTCGGCATATTGGGGCCGCTCAAACTTGTAGAGCAGCTGAGTGCCCAGCATCACATTGAAATACTCTTTTATCCCTCCCACAACTTCATTAACTGCATACTCCTTATTATCAACATTTCCCTGTGATTTCTTACAATTGGCATACTCCTCAAGAATGGCATCGACATTCTTTTTAGCAGGGAGCTGGAACAACTGCTTCTGCCTGGTAACCAAGTCCCAGTCCTCCACCAGCCATGGTTTCAGCTCTTCAGGAATCTTCACCTTCACTTCCATCCTATTCTTAAATGCCTCCTCACTCTCCACAGTGGGGTCAGCCCTTGCCCTTTTCTTCCGAGGGGGGCTGGGGCATTTCGCTGGTACTGCCACCATCTCCGTTGCCAGGGGTCTTCTGCTTGTTCTTCCTGGTCTTCCGCACAGAACCAGAAGGGGGTTCTCAGCAGAGCGACCACCCCATCTGCCTGGAAGGGCTGGTTCAAGATTCTTTGACTGTGAACCAGCCGACTTCTTTCCTGAGGCAGCTCCCCTCATCTTACTTCTCTGCATGTTGCTTCGAGTTGGCTTCTTAAAGTTGTCTTCTTCAGCAGATTGTTGTCCACGAGTCTGAGAAGCCTGCTTTCTGGAACTCATTCAACCCTGTTTATATTCCAACCACTGTAATATATAAAGTATTTTATTTGGTTGTTTACTATGGTGATTTTGAGGCCCATCAGAGCACAACACATGCCAAAATCTGTTGGATATTATTTCAGGTCCTATTTCTGGATCATTTAGAAGTGCATTTGTCTTCTCCTTTCTCTAATCCTTACTACCACCCACAACACTTGCCTCACCCAACAATGCATCAGACATGCCCACAAATTTGTTTCATGATGCTATTTAAGACAGGGATTTAATTTTAGAGAAAGAAATTGTGACAAAACCATAGATGGAAGTGGAGTTGAAATTTAAGACTTTAGAACAAGAATAAGGATTTGAAAGCAATAAGGAATAGTTTAATGGGTTGTAGGAAAAATGAATTAGCAGCAAATGTTTGTGTATACAAGTGTAGGTAGGCCTTAACTAGTATATTGGTAATGAACATACACACACAGGAAAACATTGAAGGTCAGAGTCAAACTGGGTTCTGTACCACTAAGCCACAGAGTAGTTAATCAAAAGCAGATTTTTAAGGGTTAGTTTGACACCACCAGAAAACAAAATTAGTCCCATGATATTTCAATGCATAAAACATCTCAGCGACTGCTTGCTGGAAAATGAGAAACTGCAGAAGGTGTCAGTGACAACTCGTTTTTGAGGATGTTCTTATTTGTATCATCATCAAATGAAATGGTATATATACAAGTAAACGTCTTAGAGGGAGAAGATGCTTAGCTTTGGACTTTTCCTATCTGGAGTTTACACTTGAAAATGTTTAAACTCAGGTAAGAGGTCAGAGCAAACAGATGGAGATTTCAATAATTGTTGTATAGCTGGTAACATATACTATGAGCCAATGAACCTTTATATTGAGAACAGAGGAACTTCATACAGAGAATTCTGGAAAACTTAAGGAAGTTATTAGATATTGGGAAGGTGTTAGCAAGAAAGAAATCATAGATAAAACAAAATGGTGAGAACCTCATTGGAGAATGTTATGTTAGAAACTAAAGTTATGTTTCAAGAAGAATGTTCAGTGAAAATGCATTAAAAACCAAGTCCCCTACTACTCTTATAGCACATCTCATTAAACAACCCCCTTGACTTACACAGTATTTCTTCTTTCCCTTCCAAGGACTCCTAGTAATTTCCCAGGTGGAATCTGACAGAACTCCTGGGATGCTCTGGAAAGATGAAGTGGGAATACAACCTAAAAAGGAAGTAGGTACCCGAAATGAAGATGAACTTTTGTGGAAACACGTAAGAAAAAAATTTACAAATGTGTCCTAGACATATGAAGGAAAATATTAAAGAGTTTTTGATTTGCCAAGAACTCAAATGATACATGACAAACTATTCCTGGTTGTTACAGGACACTCACTATAAGCATGCCATGTTATGGCTGAACAGCTAACATAGGACTTCACACAAACATTTCCACGTGAATGTGGATACAAAGATGTTCACTTCAGTGGATTTGCAATGGGAAACTGTACATTTACATATTTAAAAGGAAGATAGTAATATAAATTACTTATGAACACTGCAGCATACTCAAATGAATTAAGCAGAGGCCTATATATCAACACTGAAAACTGTTCAATGTTTAGGTAGCACAGAAAGAATTAAGCACAATTCAATCCTGTTTGTTTTAAACAGGTATGTAAATGTGTAAAACATGACTGTTACATATTCAGAGAAACCTCTGAAAAGAGAATGGCAGCTCAGCTTTAATTAAAGCCAGTCATGTGGGTAGGTATCATGGAATTCCCAAGGAAAATTCAGAGTTAAGAATTGCTTAGAAATGAAAGCCACAGGTGCTTAGAGTACTATGCAATTTATGGAAATATCCTTTAATTGAAAGGACAAATCTCCAAGCAGAGAGTGAAAGGCAACGCCAGCCTTCCAAACATTGAAATTGGCAAATACAGAAGCTAACCACAAGGGAATGAAAATCATTACTTTAAGAAAGAAAAATACATCATGTAAAGGTTCTCTGGTGATAGTAGCTAGAAATGCCATTATCTTGTAAACTCCAATGCTCACAAAATGCTGTTGCTAGGGTTTTTTTTTTTTTTTTTTTTTTGGTTTTGTTTTCTTAAATGTAGAGTTGTGAGCAGGATTAAAAGGACCTTGGAGAATGTGTGAACTCCAGAAAACCCACCCTGGGACTCATTATAACTATTCCATAAAACTAAAAACCCACAAAACAGTGAAATCACCCAGGTACCATTTTGGAAGCCACACTGGTTATCAACATTTCCTTACCAATGAACCTGAGAATGACAGCTGACTTTACTAAATATCCTTGTTATTAATTATATTCTTGCTCATTTTATAAGAATTCTACCATTCTTATACATTCCTATGCTAAATGCAATGCCTTGATATTTCTATAGGAAAATTCATTCAATATTTGGGTCAAGCTTTATGACCAGAGTAAATAAAAGCCAGGAATCTTGCCTGACTCTACCTCCCAGGTGCTGGGGTTAAAGTTCATCTACATTCAGCTCCTAGATGTACTACATGCTTAAGGACAGCTTTTCTCTTAACTATGCTCTGTCCCCATCTTACCAGAAGTTTAACACCACCCCAGGACTTTAAAAAAAATACCATTATATTTGACTCAATTTTGTCTCTTCCCTGCCCTCTAAACTCTGCTATTAAATGTTCAGTTAGCATACCTACCTTTATTCCAGACCTCTTTTCCCCTGAAAGCCCCACAACAGAGTTTGATCAATATACCATTTTTCTACTCAGTGCCTACATGCTAGCTTTAGAACAATCCAAAGAATATAACATATATTTCTTTTTTAATATAACATATTTTTATGTTTGCACCTACTTGTGTATTGAAGTAAAGATAAACACATGTTATCAAATCTTGGATCTCGGATCTAATCTTTAAAAAACTCAAAAATTTATTTAGTGAATCAAGGTATAATATATTTAAGGCTTTTTACTATGGTGGTAAATTATTTTCCCTTCAAAATCCATAATAATTTACAACCCTAACAGTAAAAATAATCAGTCACACCACAAATCTTTACTTTTACATCAGGAAAGCATTCAACTGCTAAGCAAACTATACCCCAAGCCTCAACCCCCACCCCTGCCTTTTGCCAATCTAACTTGTATAGTGGGTATCTTCAGTTGAAAATGTATAACCAGGCCACCTTCGCATAAATCAGTGGTCAGATGTCCTTTACTTACATGGGCATTGTTTATTTTCCTTTCTTCTAGGGTGCTTCTTGTCGCATACTGATTATACCATGTTGTTTTATTGAAATATTTTAGGTATGTTTAATAGTGTCTTATGGACTACATATACTCATATCTCAGCATTATAAGCAAACCTGGCTGGCCTTTCCTTTGCAACCTTTGGCTTTGTTGTGCTCAGGGAAAATGATGCCAAATAAATGTTATAGAAATGACTTCCTATATTATTTCTTTGTATGTTTTTAGTTTTCCCCAGTTTTACATCAATATTCTCTCAGTGTTCATTACTGATTAATTTATCATTTTCTCAATGATAAATAAATATATGTGACCTAAAAAAATTTTGTGACTTTTAAGGGGCTTTCTTCCCAAGATCAGGCTGGCCTGGCATTTGCAGCAATCCTCCTGCTTTTCTTTCCAACCTCTGAAATTAGGGGGACAAGTCACCACACCCATTTTTAGGCCCTATCAATAATTCTAGTTGTTCTTGTAACAGTATCAATAGTGGTTCAATTATCATGGCTTAAGGGCATACATGTTGCTCTAGAATATCACCTGTAATTGGATATAAAAGGTGGTTGATGTGGTATTTTAGCAGCAAAATACTGGGGATAATCTTATAGTGACTTGACAAAATGTGATATATTCGTAATATAGAATATCATTTTAACTAAAGGAAAATCACTGTGAAAAAAACATCATGAAAGAAGTTAGAGATGTACAAATGGACAAGGACTATTTATTTGTTAAATAAATATGGTATAAAATAGTACCTATACAGATACCAGTTTGTGCAAAGAAAAATCATAAAATACTCATATGCATATCTATGCACATTTTAGACAAGTTTGTAATTAGGTCATCTAGAAGGAAGTGAAGAAATCTGCTAAATTATTGACCTAGGGAGGAAGCACGGTTAGTGAGAGAAAAAAAAATCCCTGAGCTATACATATTATTCTTGACTATGAATTTTACATGTACTTTCATTTCATTACCAATGGACATTGTATGCTTCAAATGCATACTACTCAGATAGTTCCCAAAGGCCCAAGTCAACACCTGTTCCCGTTTGAGGTTTTCCCTAATTCAGATCTCTCTGGCCCTTGCTTTGTCCATTCCTATTGATCCACTTTCAGCCCTCAATCATCCTCTAAATTGCTTCTCTTCTACAAGGGAAGGGCTCTCCACAAAAACCTTTTACAAAGGAGAAAACATTAAGGAAATTATAAAACCCCTTTAAAAATGTAAATGTGAAGACACACCCCTTCCTTTCACTGCTCTATGCAAGGAGACTCCAAATGCAGTTTTGTGTATGTGTCACAAACACACGCAGTTAATAACTCCAACAATTTGTTGGCATAAACCTTTAGTTAACTGTACATATGGTACCGCATCAATTACATCTTTTTTAATCTCTTGGTCTCTGGATAAAATCAGGCATACATTATCTTTCTCATTTAGATCTTTAAACAATTCTTATTCTTTAATAAAACTCTTTTTGAGAAAGGGTCTCATGTGTCTCAGGCTTGACTCAAACTCACTATAAAGATGAGGATGACCTTGAGCTTCGAAGCTTCCTGTCTCCACCCCTAAATGCTCAGATTGCAGACATGTGCCCCCACACCTGGCTTGTGCAGAGCTGGGGAATAAAGCCTGGAACTTCATGTATGTCAGAGAAGCACTCCACCCACTGAGCTACATTCCCAACCCCATGGATTATTTTCAGTCTGAACAAAAGAGGAAAATGATATAAAGGAATGGTTAGGTGCTAGATATGGTAGCTAAAATTATAGTTCCTGAAAATTTCCTCAAAAGTAAATGTACTTAAAACTTTGATCAGATAATCCAGAAGTCTGAATTTCAGAATTCAGTTCTAGTAGTTAATTGCTGCTTCTGGAAAATGAGAAACAAACAAACAAACAAAAAAAATTAAAAAATGCCAAGAAAATTATATTTACTGTTTTACAAAAATGTGTTTATGTGTGTATGTGTAACATGTTTCATGACTACTAAACTAAGCCAGAAGTATTATTCCAGCAAATATTTTTATGAGGACATTTTGGAACAAAGGAAGTTTCTTGCTCAGGATTACATAGTTAAGTGGCAGAGCTGGCAATCAAATCCATCAAGAATGCATTTGCTCTTGACAGAAATATTTGAATCTATGAAACCATTACAGAGCACTAATTTTCAGAATTTTTTTAAAATTAAGAGATAAATTACACAGGCCTATATTGTTCAATGTGGATCCTTCCTCTTTCAGAATTTAGAGTACTTTCTGAGATGGAAGTTTATTAATCTTCAAAATATTTCTAGACATTTAGGAAGATTATGTGATATTATTTTGCCTGGGGACTGAGGCCAGAAGGAAGACACTTACCCTGTATTCTGCAAACAGGAATGGTTCTGCAACCAGGGTCAGATCTCCTGATCCTTATTGTATAACAAACTTAGCTTTTCTGATGATGACCTAGAAGGTCAAACAAAGAGAGGGAAAAGGACATAAAAAGATATGAGACGGTGATTTTCTTTTTCCATCAATGCAATTTTATCTCACACAAAGGACATCAAAGCTGATAATGTACAATTTTTATTTTCCTGTGGTTATATTTTCAAATGTACTTTATTGTTTATCAATTTTTGAAAAAAAGGAATAATTTCTATTAAGGACAATGTGAAATAAATAAAACTGTAAGGGGACACCATCACAAACCGATGAGGATCCATCATTCAGCTCCAACAATTACCAACTGAAGGCCATCTTGTTTCATCTGTAACCCCACCCACTGCTCCCCCCCCACACTTTTTTGAAGCTATCGAAAAAATGCCTTAAGATTTATGAAAAATTTCAAATATATACAAAAGGTAAAAGATTAATATACAAAACCCCATCTGCCTACCCCTCAGCTTAAAACGATTATTAATCTACGGTCCCAATTATACCCCTCCCATCTCTTCTCTATCGCTGAAATTATTCTGAAGCAAATCCTAGTCATCCACGTATTTTGAAGCCATTTTTAGACATTATTTAATCCCTAGGCAAATATGCACATAAATATATATATATTTCTACAAAATAAAGCAATCTGAAAACATAACCACATCGCTTCCATAAACGTCTAAAAAAAAAAAAAACCTGACACCGATTTCATTAACGAATATTAAATCCTGCATTTAAAAATTCCCGATGCGTCTTAAAGAAAAATTTACAATTGTTGTGCCCGAATCAGGATTCAAACAAGGCCTACTCATCGCATGTGCTTCATATCTAGCTTGTTCTCATTCTCCGTCTTCCCCACCCCCTTTTCTCTTTTTTTGACTTTAATGTGGGAAAATTCCAATCCCCAGCTATTCTAAAGCATTTCTCGGCTAGCAAATTATTTTATTGGTAAGGCTTAATATATGCAATTTCTTATGAGAAAGAGGATTAGGTGCATAAAATTATACTATATCGAGTGAATCTGCGTAATTTATAATTTTCTTCCGCTACGCAAATATCTTTAATAACTATTTCTAATATCGTTCGGAAACAGACTTCACATTGAATACCTTACACGCACTATTACCGTGAACATCTGAGTCCACGTCTGAGATGGGTACTATTATCACCGTTTTACAAACATGGAAACCGAGACACAGAAAGGAGCCTTGCCCAAGTTGGGCGTTGGCGAGCAGGGATATGAATCCCCCTTTGCCTGAATGTGAAGCCACTAGCTAATCCAGTCCATAGACACGAAGAAAAGAGGAAATCATCGACCCTGCCTCCCCACCCCCACCCCGAAACCTGAATCGAGAATCCAGTTCTTTCCAGCAGCCGACGTGTGATCACTGCTGCTCCTCCAACCGCCATAGTAAAGCCAGGTTTCTCTGGCAACTGATATCCATAGGCAGACACGTCACCCATGGGGCGGGTTTAGCCCTTCAGCCAATCATAGTCGTCTTGTCGGAGTTTTAGAATGTTCCATAACCAAATGATTGGATCAAGGCTCCCACGTCAGCAGTGACACTTCGCCGCAGTAAAGGCGGGTGCTAGCAACCTGCTTCTTCATGGTTAGGGCCGAAATCAAACCAATTACCGTCCTTCTTCAGTGCGGATTCCGGCCAATGACAATCGCCCTTTTAGGCTCTGAGCCCGCCCTCCAAGTGCGCTACAGCCGTTGGGTCATAAGTCTATAGGGCAGCGTGTTCACGTGGCCTATTTTCACGACCCAGAGTTCCCCTGACCGTGGTTTTTTTTTTTTTTCTTACCCCCACTTCCTTTCCCTCGCTCTCTCCTCTTCTCCTGCAGGGAGGCATTATGGGTTTGTGGGTCCCTTCCCCTCCCCCGCCCCCGCACCACTGGGAAAGGAAGTGTCTACGTGGCTTGCGGAAATAGGATAGGCGGAAATGAGCTAAGGTTCCCGCGAGTGGGAAGAGCGAGGTCAAAGCTAGGGCCACGCCCCCGAGCCTGTGGCGCAGCTCTCGGAACAGAAGGAGAAAAAAAAGGAATAACGAAGGTTTTGAAATGTGTGTGTGTGTGTGTGAGGATGGTGAGTGCCACGGGCGGATGGCGTGAGAACCGGGGTGTATGTGAGCGGGCAGGCCCGCGTGGCCGCCGAGTGTGGGTGTGGGCGCACACCAGCCCTCGTGGCGCCGGAGGTGATGGGTGTGCGCAGGCGTGCACTCCTTGCGGTGGCGGGAGGGGCCATGGCTCTCTCTCTCTCTGTGTGTGTGTGTGCTTGTGTGTGTGCGTGTAACTGTGATGCTTTATATTAGTGGATTGCTAGTTTTTTTGTTTGCAAGCCGCTTTAGTGGAAAGGAGAAATAATTAAGGCACATTACTACTAACAGAAACAAAGGGCTTTTGTTAGAAAAGGCCTGCTGATTTAATTTATTTACTTTCCTTTTTCTGGTTGTTCTTTGACACCTGGTCTCGCCATGTAATCTTGGCTGGCCTGGAACTCCTAGAGATCCACCTGTCTCTTTTCTTATTCCCGAATACTGGGATTAAAAGCATGCGCCACTCCACTCAGTCCGATTTAATTTTAGATCATATAGCTGCTCTTTTTCTCACATTTTAGTCCACCAAAATAAACTCCCATAGATAAGATTCAAAACTATATTAGTAATAGGGCGCTCCTTTAAAGTTTCCAAGTATACTCCCCTCATGTCCATCACCAAGACCTCCCCTTTGCCCTGCACCAATTTTACTGCATAACTGGCAGAAATAATAAGGACGTACAAAATTAAATTCCTCTATGATAGAGAACCCTCCAAGGTTTTGTGGGTTCTAAGCTTCACCTACCTTTTGGCCTAGTCTCCAAGCATAGTGAGCCTCAGGCAAATATGCATTCGGTCAATTTTCCAGAAAGTTCACTGGGTGAGGTTTATACCTCTTGAATCTGCCACTAGATGTCACCAAATCCCAGCAGAGGATTTGCTGTTGGGAGATTTTTTTTGCTCCACCCACTTCTTAATTGATGAACTCAATAAATCTCTGTCTCATATATATCTCAAAGAACAGTAAAATCAAGTTTTGTAAAATTAAAGCCCTAGTCAGGGACTTATATATCCAAATATTTTTGTTAATTTCTTTCCATAAAAAGAAAAAAGTCATCTGTTCTTCAAGATTTTCTTTCTCCCTTATTATTTTTTTTTTTAACTCGGAGTTAGTAAGGTGAGCCTAAATGCCGATGCTAAAATCCTCTGTGAGATGTGGTACATTTGCAACATCAGCATTCAGTAGGCAAAAGGACCCCAAGTTGAAGACCAGTTTAGATTATATGTCGAGATCCTGTCTCTACATAAAAAAAAAAAACTAATGAAAGAATATCCTTTTTTCTTTTTGCCCACTTAATTTTCAAATACAGTTCCTCCAAATGGTAATTGCAGATGACTATAGCCAATCTAAAGTTAACTCGGAGGTAAAGTTAGACCTCAGGATTAAAAATTCTCGTCCTTTCCTCTTGAAATTTTTAGCAGATATGTGTGTTTGCGCCCTAATTTTATGTGGTGTTTCTGCATTGTGAGCCAAAAGGTAAGTATGTGTAGTTGGTATAAAAAAAAAGTTATATTTCATAATGCGGAGGGTCATCCCACAAAGTTCGAACTCTTAATTTCTAAATACAATCCTAAGCCTATTTTCCCAAGGTTTCTCGCCTGTTTCACATATCATGGCAGATTAGGCAAGTCTCTAACAAAACTCTGATTTGAGGGTCAGGATCCCGGGGGAAACTCACCAGCCGCAGGGTGGATCAAGGTGTCGTCTCTCCAGGTGCACAGAGGACGAACAAGCTCCTGGTCTCTGCTTATATAGTGGCCAGAGCGTCATAGGATTCTAGGACTGTGTCTGGTTATCTTGAGTGAATGATGTCACTGGGATCTGGTTATCAGGTACAGCCTCGGGGGGTGTAGTGGAGTTCCTGACTAAGCTGTTTTTACATGTCTAAAAGGCATTTAAAAAAAAAAAACTGCTCATGCTCATTGCATTTTGCATAACTTGTATCTTCAGAGTCAGATAGTAAATAGTGAAACATAGTTTACACTTACTAGCCTTTGTTTCAGGGCAAATGCTGATGTAGACCTGATTTTTTTTTTTTAATTTGCGTAAGCACAGGAGTGCAGGAGTGCTTGCTTGCCTGTGTGTGTGCATGTTGAGGAGGCTAAAGGTCAGCTTCATTTTAGGTCTCTTCCTCTGTTTCTTTCCACCTTATATTTTGAGGCAGAGTCTTTCAGGTAGCAATAGTCACCCTTAAAACATTGGGGTTACAGAAAAGATATGAGTCCCATGTTCAGCTTTTATGTAGGTTCTACAGAACGGAACTTAAGTCCTCATGCTTGAGCAGCAGATACTTTACCCCCTGAGACATCTTCCCAGCCAGACCTTCAATTTTTTAAAATATTTTCTGTATTTTAGATGTTATATTAAATACTTTTTTCTTAAGAACATTGTACACCATAATCAACCAAGAAATATCTGTTCCAGTTATCAATGATAACTATTTGTGCACATGTGGGTGAAGTGGTTTTTTTTTTAGGATTTTCATTTCATTGTTTTTATATTTGTGTAGGTGTATATATCTGCATGTGGGTATGTGATATGCGTTCAGAGCTCAGAGGCAACGGATCACCTGGAGCTGCAATTATAGACTGTTCTGAGACACCTGTCATGGATGCTGGGACCCTAAATTGGGTCCTCCAGAAGAGCAGCAAGTGGTCTTAATTGCTGAGCCATCTCTAGCCATGATGGTAGAGTTTCTAGAACAGTTTAAAACTGTATTTCTCAGGCAAACCAGAAGCATCAGCATCACCTGGTAAGTTATCACAAAATTAGATTCTAAGGTCCTGCCTCAAATGTCGTAAATCAAAGGTTCTCTGGATAGAGTTTGGGAATCCTTGCCAATACAAATTGTTCTACTGCAGATGGGGCTCTCTAAAATTTAGGAACAACTGCTTTGGAGGGCGAAAGTCCAACACTTGTTTTTGTCCACCACTAGAGGGTGCCATAGAATGTAAAGCAAAATGAAAAGGGCTTACATGTTCTGGGATACCCTGCATAATATCAGATTAAGGAATATGTAGAAGTGTCACCATGAATATTTACCTTTCAGAGTATGAAAGAATCTTTACATTACAGATGGTCTCTGCTTTGACTAATGTTGACTGAACCATTAAGAAGATAGTAGGAGAGCAAATCCAGTCTGTGGAACTAGCTTGATCATTTTCATAACTTTCTTCTTCTCCCTTCTATAATGGGTATAACACAAAAGCCTAGGAGTAGCCACCTTGTTATTTCTTATTTCTCAATGCTCTTTCAATTCCATAGCTATCTTTCAGCTTGTGTCATAATATTTTATGTATAATAAAAGCCTGATATGGTGAGTAAAACAGAGATTTGAAAACCCATTATGGGCCACTCACTCTATTTTACACGTAAGTCCCAATAATAAGCTTATAACTTAGGTGAAACTTAATATCATTTTATAGTGATAAAAGTGAGTTCATCTGAATATTCCTGGTATTTGTAATTCTAGTATTCAATTAGGCTTTCTAGTTCTTGGGTTTACTTTCTATTTAGGTGATTTTTCTTCCTTTTTATTAGTGAGCCATTGATACTGTTTGACCCAATGAAAATGTAGAGAAGTCTCTCTCTTGTGTTATGGCTGGGTTTTATCTGACACCAGATGTGCACTTTCCAGTCCCCCTCCTTTTGCCCACTCCAAGTACTTTTAGAACCAGTTCAAGGAATATGACATTGAGTGAGGCTGACCAAGTATTATGATATACTACATTGTGGTGCTTTGTAGAATAACAGTGTGTTCAAGGCCAAAAGTGGTTCAGATTTCAAAGTTATTCAAATTTGAGTGATTCTTAAAACAAGTTCTCTTGAATTTTATGAACTTTAATGTCATACCACCTATGAGATGGGAACATTTTGATTTCATGATCTTAGAGACACCATATATAATATAGTATCCAAGTAGTATATGTGACTATTTAGGTCACAATTCATTAGACTAAAAAAATCGATTCAGTTGGTTGTTCTGGCTATGCTTCAAAGGTAGCTACATATTGTTACTAGATGTTGTCTAAATTTGGATACAGATAATTTCCAGCATTGCAGAATGTTCTGCTGGATAGTGCTGATTTAGATGATAGAAGGTATGGAAAAGAGCCTGGTATAGTGCATGCCTCTTGACAGATACATCCCCCCAAAAGGTGGTACTTTTTCCCTGCTCTTCTCAAGATCAGAGCTGGGGTGCTCCATTTTATTAATAGCGTCAGGAGAAGGAAGTAACTTACCTGAGGTACTTTAACAAGGGCTATGTCTGGCACTGGAACCTGTATTTTTGATGGTTGCTACAGTTTTCTAATAGGACTGACTATCTTTGTACTTTCCTGGGTAGGGTTGCAAAAGCAAGATCATGAATAATGTGGAATAGTTTTAGAATCAGAGCAGTAACAAAAAATGGCCTAGAAACAATGCTCTCTGTATTTAAGGTAGCACAGGACTCAACTCTGTCCATCTGTTATCTTAGCAAATCCTCACGGAAGCCCAGAGAAGTTAAACAGTCACCGAAAGTTGCTCAACCAGTAATTTGCAGCACAAGACCAGACTTGTCCCTGACTTTAAAGCCCAGGCTTTTTCCTGTTATGCTACCCCATCAATGTGACTATTGCCCTGTAACCTTAACTCATCAGTGGCATAAAGCCTCAAGTCGATTCTTCGCTTATAGTCAGTTCTCAGTAAATGAGAAACATTCTTCTTTAGAATTTACAGCTGTACTGTTGTCTTCACATGATTTCAACTGGAAGAGAAAGATAGCTTCATTTTATTTGGTCCCAACGCCCAAGGCCAGACTGAAACTATTTAAGGTCTCAGCCCTCACAGGGTATTCAGTGGCTCTATAAACCTTGTATTAATTTGCAGGACCACCATTAGCTCATACAATGCCTTTGTGGTAATCAGAATCATAGGCCACCTAAGGGCAGATACAATGCAGAGATATGTGCATTTCAGTGGAACAATGCCCCTCTCCTTGCCCCTGCTGACTGCTGTAACTTCACTAAGGCAGTTAGTTGAAAAAGACTTTCAGCTAGGAATTTTGTTCTCTTAGCTGAGTAGCATTGTGTAGCATTTAATGTGCCTGTCAGTATATGTGGTCCTTGCTTGTATTACCTTGTGAATAACAAAAGCATTCTTGGTCCAAAAGGTAGTGATCAGTAGTGGTCAGACTGTTCTATTGCCTATTCCCAGTGTATTCCCATGTCTTATGGGTAGTAAACAAAATTTCTCTGTCCTAAACTTTATTTAATATCACATATAATTTTATTTTTTGTATGTGTGCTTCATCTACATGCATGTCTCTGCACTGTGTATGTTCCTGGTACCCATGGAGGCCAGAAGAGGGCATCGGATCCCCTGAGACTGCTAATACGTACATTTGTGAGCCAATAAATGAGTGCTCCAGCCCTAAATCAGAACCAAACTTTAAAAATATCAAGTAGAAGCTGAAGAAATGGCTCAGCATTTAAGAGCACTCACTGCTCTTGCAGAAGACTACATACAGTTCAGTTCTCAGCACTCATGTGGTGGCTCAGAACAACCTATAATTCCTGTTCCATGGGACTTGGCATCTTTTTCTGACCCTTGTGGACACCAGGTACACATGTGGTGTACATACATATATGCAGAAAACACACTCAAATACATACAATTAAATAAATAAATCTAAAAAGAGTATTTAAAGTTGGTTCTGATTATCTTATTTAATATTTCTTAAAATAATGATGGTAATGTACAAGTTAAAAGCAAATCCCAATATTTCAAAGCCAAGAAAAATTGAATTTCTATAATAAGGATGTCTTTCCTTCTTTCTATTTATAACACCTTATTCTATAGGAATTTCATAAAGCCAGTCCCACAAATTTCTCTGGATCAGTCTAGTTTGTTAGCCCATGGGGAAGCAAATAGAAATAGTAAAGGGGAATTTTTGTTCTTTTAGTGATATCTGTTTTCTCTTCTTTAGTTAAACTACCACCTCATGGCTCCACTTGACGTACAAAAGCTTATTCCAGATGACCAAACCATTGAGAATTGAACCCAGTCAGCGATGACCTTAGATGACCTTGAGATGCCAGACTTGCACATGATCCCTTGTTTTTCTCCTCCTGAGTTAATAGTTTAGCTTGGAACGTGCTAAACTTCATGGTTTTGTCAGCACCACACTCTACTTAGAAGGATCACTTAAAGCCACCCTTGGTATACATTAACTCAGAAAGATAAAGACTGTTTTTCTCAGGTGATTGTTGATGTCTTTAGTTCAAACTTTGCATCCATCAAGTAGATTGCTTTGAATCATTTTTCTCCAGCTAAGTTTCTTTTCTTTCTGTCTTTCTCTCCTTCCTTTCTTTCTTTTTGGTTTTTTGAGACAGAGTTTCTTTGTGTAGCTTTGGAGCCTTTCTGGAACTCACTCTTTAGACCAGGCTGGCCTCGAACTCACACAGATCTCCCTGCCTCTGCCGGTACCAACTCCCAGCTCCAGCTTAGTTTCTTATGTTTGTAATTTCTACCCAGAGTCTACATTTTACTAGAATTGATAAAAAGTTATGGCTTTTGAAAATATTAATTGCCATATTTAAGAGGACAAGCCAGTAGTACTTGAAAGTACATATCTAATTTGTTTAATGGTAGACATGAGGTTGCTTGTACTATTCTCTACTTTTGTATAGTTCTGAATGTTTCCTTAATAAAATAATTCTTTAAAGAAGAAAAAAATTTAAAAGTGCATCATCAGTTATGGATTAGAGTAGAAACATGGGTCTTTCTTTAGAAGAGTACTTATTAACTAAGACAGTGGGTGTAATTTATACTTTTTCGTAGGGAATGGGCCATGTCAAATTAAAAGACGAAGACAAAACTTCTTCACTAGGAATTGATAAGGTCTCCTCAAAGGACAGCCTCTTCCCACCTCTTCCGCTCCACCAGATGCCATGAGAAGCCTTGCTGTAATGAGCTACTGTAAGTGGTGTCTTAAAATCCTTCAGGCATTTAGGACCAGAGAGAAGTTGAGAACCACAGAAAGAACTTTCCACTCATTGGTGAAACTGTTAGCCAGAAGGCAGAAAAACACAGGCAAATGGAAGCTAGAGGCAAGAGAGAGTTGAGAGTGTATGAGAGCTTTGTACCCACCCTCCATGAGTGCTGCAGAAGGCAAAGCTGCTACAGAAACAGAAGATCAGATTGCAGAATATGAGACAGAGGATATCGTATCTATTTTTCAAAGATGCTTTTTTCCCACCTTAGTTACAGGGGTTTTGTTTTGGGTTTTGGTTTTTGGTATTTTGAGACAGTATTTCTCTGTAGCTTTGAAACCTGTCCTGGAAACTCGCTCTGTAGACCAGGCTAGGCTCAAACTCAGAGGCCAGCTTGCCTCTCCTCCTGAGTGCTGGGTTTTTAAGAGTAGGAAGACCGTCTGATAGCTAAGTATGTGGACATGCACATGTGTGTGAAAGTGTAAGCACTTAAAGAAAAGGTATCTTACCACCCTGCTTAGAATGGCAGGTTCTACAAACCACACATTGAAACAGTGGTTTACCATATGGCTAAGCAAATGAGGCTGTTCATACACTACTGTACAGAGCAGTTAGGGCTTAGGGTATGGGCACCTCAGAGGACATGTTCCTTCAAGGCCCTGAGGTTGAGCTAAAATGATTAGTAATTGAGGACGGAGAAGAGATTAAGAACAGTTTCTAAAAGGTACAAAGCTAAAGCTGCTCCCAGGCTGGACTTCTGGGTGGGACGTCAGTGGGACCAGGAGGGTATAGCCAGCTTTCAATAAAGCTGGTCTGTGAAACTTGGCTAAGAGGACAGAGGAAAATTGATGTTTGCTTCAGAGTGGGGCTGTCAGCTGTGCTCACCGCCTCACCAGGCTCCCAGCTGTAAACAAAAGTCCTGGCCCTCCATGGCACTGCTGAGCAGTCCAGGCTGGTGTAAGTCTCTGAGGACAGCTAGACCATTCTCTCATCCTGGCTGTCAACCAGGAGACAGAAGAAACAATAGAAGGTAGAGTGGGGGAAGGGGCACAATTGCAAGGGGGTGAGGAGCAGACACTGATTGGGATGGAGTTGGGTATTTCATATCTTAGATCTTTGGATGGAAGTAGTAGAAATATTTTAGGGAAAGCAGACCCCTTCCCTTGTGTAAAACTCCCAGGTAATAGGGAATCACAAAGGGCACTTCAGAGACTCCAGTGTACCATCCACTCCTTCCTTTACAGACATGCATGCTCATCTCCATGCTAGCGACTCTGGGTGATGCTAAAGTAATAGAGGATAGCTTACATATTCAAGGGTCTAATAAGCAGTTTAGGGATATGTGTGATGTTGAGTCTTAACTTCAAATAGACTTGCTGTTTATTTGTTTCTAAGACAGGGTCTCATGTAGCCCAGGCTACCTCTGAACCTGCTGTATAGCCATGGATGGCCTTGTACTTTTGAATAACCCTCCTGCCTCCACCTGGGATTACAGGCACATAATACTGTGCTCAGTGAATAATAGACCTTCTTACATATTAGTGACAAACTTGGAATAGACATATTGAAGCAACATATCTGTCTATAATCACAGAAAGTAGGGTTTGAGAGAAGTGCCATAAGTTGGACATGATTTGGCTATGACAAAAAGGCATCTGAAATTTCAGGCAAGTTCCAGGACAACCAGGGCTACACAGAAAAACCCTTCTCAAAAATAAGTAGATAAATAAATGGAATTCTTATGTATGTTAGGCAAGCATGAGGCTACATTTCTAGCCTCTGAAGGACTATTGACCTCTGTAAAAATAACAGCGAGTACAAGCCTTAGCCTACCCCTGATTCTTGCTGTACCATTTTCTTGTGGTTTTATGTTCTTTGCCTCTCTGTTACTTCCATGGCTCTTACCTCCACAAGCATAAGATTCAGATATCGGTGCTTCTAAACAAAAAATTGGGAGTAGGACCAGATACTCATGTTTCTGTAGTTCTAGTGGCTCATTCAGCATTTACTTACTGCCTATCTTCATTCTACCAAGTTGGGAACTGATATCTACAGGAGAAAACCTCCTGTCTGTCTTAATGAAGTTCATACTTGCATGAATACCTTACACTGGTAGTTTTAAATTCCCAGTGAAGGGATTTTCCTTACCTGGCTCAACAAAGGAGACTTTATAATACTAGAGCCTGTCAAGTAATTCAGTCTTATAAGTAGACCTTCTGTGTTTCTGGCACCCAGAGATCGGGTGCTTCTGCTGGTTTACACCAAAATCTTCTCCTTCCCTGTAGATCCAAAATGGTATAGTAGAGAATGTCTAGAGGGTATTCAGGTGGTAGCCATTCCTTATTCTTTTCAGAGTGGTCTTACTAAAACAAATGGTCCAACAAGTTTCATCTCTTAAGTCAAGCACAGTAGAGAAACTTATAGGAAGTTTTAACAATAGACTAGAGGATCTCTCCTATACACTGAGTAAGCTAAAGCAAGAGCATAGATTTAAAATGGCTTCCAAGGACAATTAGACATCCTCATATTGGGATAGGTATTAATGCTTATTAATACCTATTGATTCAGGTTCCAAGTGGGTTAGGAGGCTAGCAAATGTGGATGTCAGTGGGGCAATACATACCTATCACTGTTCACAATAGGCCACAATGTCTTATAATTCTAGCATCTGACACAACAAGAGGATCTTCTCTTACAAACTCTTCTTTAACAAACTTAAGGTCATTGAGGGTTTGACTGAAAGCTCAGGCCCTCTGTTTTAACTTCCTTCACCCCAAAGATGAATGAAAAGAAAAAGCATTATTGTAGCTAAATTTCTAACTAGTTATCACTTGGTTAAAGAATAACATCAGACAATGTCATTTTAAAGACATGTTAGTTTGACTCCCCCTTTCTCTTATCTCCTTTTTCCTGAACATGCCTCCATCACCAGGAGATCTCGAAGAATGTTCTTGTATATAACAGGTAGAAGCGAAAGAGCTTAAGTCTGTGATTAATTGCTCTTCCTTCTTAGGTCTCTTTTGGGTCAAGAAAGTTCATCCTGAATCTCAGGCCCATCAACTGACAATAACAGATTTGGTTCCTGTCATGGGAAAAGCTAAAGAAAATAGAAATCTAGTGGATCCCTAAACTCATGATCCTCTGGTGACAGAAACTGAATTTCTGCAAGTGGCGCTCATCATGATCTTTTACACCCACAATATTGTCATAGATCAACATGAAGTTTGTGCTCTCTTCTTTCTGCAGGACCTGGGGCTTTTACGCAGGTATCAGGCAAAAGATGAGGGAGGCAGGGACTGAGGACGAAGTGGTTATCATCCACCCCCACAGACTACTGTTAACACAAATCAGTTGCAGATTAAGCCAGAGCAGTCCCAAAATGAATGTGTGTAGCTAATAAGTGACACTTTGTTAGGGAACAAAGGGAAGTTAAAACAGGGGCCTGAGCTTTCAGTCAAGCCCTTGATAACCTTGTGTTTGATAAAGAGACAAGAATGAATGATTAGAGAAGACTGTTCTGTTGTGTCAGCTGCTAGTATAATAAGATACTGTGGTCTGTTGACTGGGGTATCTTACAGGAAAGCCTATGAGATAGTAGTTTTGTAAAAGAGTCAAATATTTGTTACTCTGTGTGAAAACAAAACAACCTCTCACGATAACAGATGTATTTCTGTGACCAAGGTTCAAAGCATTCTTGTTCTTAATGGTTCGAACTGTGTATCTAACAGTGATTCTCCTATCTGAAGTAGTTCAGGAACTGAGAAACTGGATGGGCGGCGGTGATGTACATTTGTAATCCCAGCATTCGGGAAGAAGAGGCAGGTGAATCTCTGAGTTTGAGGCTAATGTGGTCTACAGAGAAAGTTCCAGGATGGCCAGGACTACATAGAGAACCCCTATCTCAAAAGAACAACAAAAATAATGGTGAGAAACTGAGGACTGATATGACAGAGGTCAGCCTGTAGACACTGTCAGTAATTGTAAAGCAAAGTAGGTTATACATATTTTTGGACTTCTATAGGTTGACTAGTTGAAAAGCGAATTACAATAAGAAAGATACCTAATAATTAAATATTTTTACAGCTGTTTCTTTTTTTTTTTCCTTTAGTCTATTTGTTTCTGTGATGAGTAATCTTCCTTGTCAAGTTGGCTGGATGCAGGATCACCTAGCTAAATTACTGAGGACACATCTGGGTGTACTTCTGTGAAGACATTTCCAGGGAGGATTAACTGGGGGAAGATCTAGTCCTAATGTGGGTGGAACCATCTCCTGGGCCAGGGTCTCAGGTTGACTGAAAGGGAAAAGATTAGAAAACCAGCAGAGCATCAACAGTCCCCTGTCTCTGCTTCCCTTGTGCCACCCAGTACACAACTCGCATTCTGGTCAGCTTTTCTGTGGGTACTCTCACTCTTACCACCATGATGCTTCCCTTAAGCACATGGGGCTAGGAGAACAGGGATTAATCCATGGAAATTGTAAACCAAAATAAATCTTTCCTCCCCTGAGTTGTTTATATCAGGGATTTTGGTCATGGGATTAACAAGCCAGGTAATATAACCCCAAACAAGGCTTTCATATATAAACCAAATAAGATAGCTGGAGCACCCCTTGACATTAAATGGCTAATATCTGAAATTCATAGATAAGACAGTTTGGATTTTCACAAATTTTAATGCAGCAGTAAAAAGCAAAAAACTATGTCCTCACCTCTACCAAACAAAATGCTGTAGTACAGCATTATTATAAAAGCTATGTCACTCTGAGTGAATATGTGTATGTGCGAATATAGGAGAGTTCCTGTTTTTTCTTTCCATAAGACCTTAGGGACTGTTGAAGATTATTTGAAAATCTCTTGTCCAGTTGATAAGGCAACGGACTGAGAAAGAGTAAACTTCAGTGTTGCTTTTGTTGTGAGACTAGAGTAAGTTACTTCAATTTTTTTTAGTCTTCTATCCTCACTCCTTGCCTGGATACATGGTTATCTTACCACAAAGGGTTACTTTCAGGATGAAATGCTACTGAAATGTTTGCAAGTCCCCCCACCCAAAACAAAGCATCCAAGAGTGCATGGCACTCGAATAATATGACCCTTTTCAAGGAAAGTATATTTGGAAAGAACTAGCATTGCAATTCAT